GCAGTAGCTTAGAATATATGGGTATTTATATTATAGACTGCTGTGATATTGTCTGTGTTCGTTGAGCTTAAAAGCTTCATCTAAAGCTTTAATAATTAATAAAGAGGAAGCGTTAATTATTACTGGTCAAGCGCTGTCATCGAGCTTGCAACACGATCTCTCTGTCCAGCATAATAAGCGGGTTGTAACTTATAACGCTGTTGTTAGACACAAAATGATTTAGTAGTGTACTTAGTACAATCATGATGAAAATATTACATTGTGGAAATCGTTTATTTACCGCGTTTAATTACAATTCTCCGATAAAATAAAAATGATGTCGCAATGCTATGTTACGGGTCTATCTTCGTTTGAAATGTTAGTAAGGAACTGCCAAAAAGCTATGTATTTGCTGTGCAATCAGGCGTTTCACTCATAAAACCTAACCTACAAAACGCAAAGACGTCGAATAATATTTTTATCACAAGTACAATTTTCTGATGTCTCATTGATAACACATACGTGAAATTAGGTTCTATGTGTAAAACGCCTGATAGTTTAACATACTTTTTTGACAAACGGTACTACCACTTTATATGAAGATAAGGCATAGCGTTGCCATAAAATTTCTATTTTATCCAAGAATTTGCCCCTAAACCACTTCAATCATATCTAGCAATGATTGATATTCAGAATGAAATAGGTTGAATATCTGAAAACACAAATTTTACTACAATTATCTGTATATCTGAATCTAAAATGCATTGTCTATCCAAACTCAATCATCGATGGTAAATAAACAGTGGCACTCGACAAAACTATCATGTTCTGCAAACAAATTCATGTTTATTGATCCCGATATTCGATTAATCCTATCGATTGTTTATTGCCCGGGCTCAGGATATGGTTTTGGTTTTATATTGCTTCTCTCGGATGAGAAATCCTTTTCCGATATCGGTCATAATTTAACAGAATGATGATTGCGAATGCTGCAACGATCTGGTATTAATTATGACGCGCAGGAGCCGTGTTAATCGAGCTATATATGTTTCCGATCCGCCGAATGCATCATGGCTGCCGTTTCATAGATACAGGGTTGGGTAAATAATTGATTGGACTAATTGTCAACCCTAAAATAATACTAACTGTGGAAAAAATAATTATTATGAAACTTTTTTTGCGATAGATATCATGGTCTTATAGAACATACTGCCAGAAGATTAGAAATGGCTTTGGATTTGTAGAAAAGTAAGTGAGCAGTTCACAAAACTTCTCTAGTTGTGTAAAAAGTGCTACTATTAATTTAAATTATTAAATCATGTCAAGGACGATTCTTAGAGCAAATGTTTAATATTTCACAAAATAATTTATTAAGTTTCTTAGCACAAAATGTTACGACGTTTTTTGTTAAATTCAACAAGGCGATATTACTCATTTCGGGAAGTTCATGCAACTTGCCTTAAGTTAAAATGCCACTTTCAACCATTTAGATTTTTTGTCGTCCATCCCTTAGACATCCCTTGATCCAGAGCTATATCCTCACACCTGCATAAAACAACGGTCGTAGTGTTCCAATGTGTCATTGGCTCGACCCATATATCGTTATTATATTGGCAACTGAGTACATAAAATCAAATATGTTCCCATATTTACTTATTCATAATTCCATTCTCTAAATGGGATGCACATTTATGCACCGGAAATAATTGACTACCAACAATATATAGCCTCTGATCTAGGCTTATTTCAAAACATTTATAGAAAAGAATCTGCTTTTTCGCATTTTTATGAAATAAATTTGATGCAATATAACATATTATAGCATAATGATCTTTTTTTATTTTTTGTGAACTTATAAAATTGTTCTGCACCTTTGTTCTTGAATGAAAGACTAAGATTTCTGATTTGAAAAAAAAATTTTGAAAACAGTCGGGATTTACAAAGAGCTTACATGTACTTATGTGAGCTTATAAAATTGTATCTCTTTTTCAATAAATCTCCAGAGCTTCTAAATTAACAACTAAAATTTTTGAGACATTGTTTCTAGTATTATATACCAAGATTGAACAAAAGACAGTCTTTGGAAGTATTTGGAAGATTTTTGCATTGTTGTAATTTTAAATTATAGTTCATGCAATGCATTAACATAAATGACATTAATCAAATAATTTATTACTAAATTTGCAAAATGGCAAATACATTTGCTTTATATTATATTTGCTCATTTATGATTAATGATTTAATGTTTTACAATGATGCATGGTTCACCGAACTAATTAATATATACATAATGAATTCATTGCTCACATATCATTTTCTGTAACATTTTAATTAAAATATATTTTTTATACTTTTGCAATTATTACGTTGGATAATTAAGTACTTCTGATGAATTGTAAAATAATGATTAAATAATTGGCTGTATAATACTTAATTTAATTTATTATAAATTTATTCACTAGTCGATATGTTTTTATAAATCTTACATCTTCTGGATAATAATAAATGAATATAACTCGTATGGTTATAATACATGCACAAAATTAACTTTGAAAAAAAAAAAATTTGCATTGAAAACTAAATAAATTAATTATACATTTGCATTTATTATAATTTTTAAGTGGAAAAATAAGCATTCTATGTGATACAGTAGGGTACTATTTAAATATAAATGAAAAAACAGTACAAATATGTAATAATAGAACTTAATAATGATAAAAATAATAATATCTACTACGATCCAGTTCACTAATTTATGAAATATTTAGAAATTGTTTCTTCAGATGTTTTAATGTTAGCACCCCTAGCAGTATATTCATATGAAGTTGTATTGCAATGCAATATATATCAATAATTTTCATATTTTCAATAATTGGTAAACAGCAGTATATTATTTTAGTTTACAAGTATAAATTCTCAATGCAAAGTATCTTTAATCATTTATTTTCGATAAATACTCTGCAATGCCTCTACATAAACTTCGAAATTAAACTGCAGACACAATTATAAATTCGCAAGCGATTTGATAAATCGCAACAAAGTTTCCGTGGCCGTTAATAAAGCCAACTATACTTTGTTAAGAAAATTAAAGTGATCCTATGAGAAATATATTTATTAAGTATCTTGATTGACGAAGCGAAGGAAAATTATAATTGAAGAAGTTTAACTAAACTATTTAATAAAATACACTGGGCTAAAGTCTTACCTATATTCTATATACATTAAAAGTGTAGAGTATAAATACTTCACCTATTTAAGTCCAATATGTTGTATCAATTTTCTTTTCTAATTCAATTATAAAAAAACTTAGTATCTTGCTTTGTATTCGCTTGTCTTTGGACAAATTGCCCATCTAGCATATTTAGATCAGTAGAACCGTATTTCCTTCTGATACCTTCAGAGTGATATATATTTATATATTATACATATTATTATATAACATATAATATTTTCTGTATTGTATTCGTGCGTATTTGTACATATGTACAAATCCAGTCTCCCTTGTCGTTAGAGGCACTCAAAACCATTCGGTCTTATTAGGATGTACCTGAACGTTCCAGAGACATGTTTTTCCAATAGAAATCGGGTGAGATACGATATAACGAGCTCTCGGAATCTCTGTCACATGAGGGTTGACAAAAAATAGAAAAAAGAAGAAAAAAACTAGTGCGTTTCTTATATGTTGTTATTATTATTCAAGTCACGTTTGCTACGCGTAGAGGAACGTAGCATACGTATATTGATATTGATAGTATCTTATTTGCCGAAAGATCCAGGCGATATATTTTACATAATTTTGGAATATAAAGTAAATGTGAAACGATATGGTGTAATTTAATTGATTTGTCTTTATTATTGCGATTCTTGTTAACAATTTAAGTGGGATACGTAGATGTAGTAATAAGCCTACGCAGCAAAATCAATTGATGTCTGGTTCAATGGCATTTTCATATATTATTGTTTAATATCCTGGCTTATATGATGGATGTCCTGGCTCAATGGTGAGTACTTTAATCTCGTAACCAGAATTCCAGGATAGACATTTACTTCGACCAGCCTAATATTGAACAGTAGTATTATATTATATGTCTTCACTTAAAAATATTGATTACCAAATTACCAAATTTTTTTTTAACTCATTTACTAAGGTTTTTCGAGTTTTACACCCAGCAGAATTCAAAACGTGACTTGTATTATTCTACTTTTACACATTTCACGAGGAGAAAAATAAAAAAGCATAAACGCTAATTTGTTTTCTGTCCTCACCCTGATGCTGACGAAAAAATCCCCAGATTTATGAACTTCAACAATTTATGTCATATCATAACATTGTGACATTTTATCAAAATGAAGTAGGCATGCTTGGTAAAGGTCATGTACGTGCCTTTTGGAATAAAAGTATTATGACAATTATACTTTATTATATGAAATATATGTTCGAACAACTCTTGTGAAATTTGACTAAAGGTAAATGAAAAGACGATATTTTTATATTAAAAATAAATAAAACCTTTGAGTTTATAATATATGTATCTCATATGATATATAATGTAACTTTTCTGCTTCATTCAAAAACGTAATTGAAAAAGCTCCCAGTATCTTCATATAAATATTCTCAATACTATTTCATATAGTTTAATATCTCACAGCCCTTACTTTTATATTGCTTGGGATTATTGGAATTCAGTGGCTTTATTGGATGCTCTATATAAACCCACTTGTATTATTTCATATATACCATCTCTTGTGAGCTTACCTGTGACATATGAATATAGAAAAAACGTCATTAAAATATTCATATGTTCGATCCATGTCATATAACATGTGAACCTTTGTCGTGTATCTCTTTGATCAAGTTAGTATTAAAAATAATTGGTTGCCCATGCGCGGATTAAAGGTCTATAAATAAATTAAATGGGAAGGATTGTTGTTTACCAATTACGAATAATGTTGGAATTATATAATAAATATATGATGAACAAGTGTTAGTAGATGTTTGTAATCAAGTATATTTTTTTCAGATTCACGATTCACGTGGGCGCAATGGCAAGGTCCAATGTTCTCGCAGCAACCTCCGGCAAGACTTGTTTTTAGCAATGCTTCCGGGTCTCAGGTTTCTTGCGCAGCCCATGGGTCACCTGCCCCTAGAGTTACTTGGTTGTTGAAGGATGGGAGTGCTGTTACGGCGGTGCCTGGGTTGAGGTAATATTTTATATATTGTTAATCCTAAAATTATAGGTTTTATAGATTATTTTGATATATTTCTGCATATTCTCTTTAGATTTATATTCTCTTTAGATACTTTAAAGAGGTAATTTAGTACCAGGAAATATATTTCTTTAATTTTATATCAAAAATCCGCATTTACTTGGCCTACCTAATACATATGTATCAAAAAGAACCATGCCAGGTTAACCATTGGGATAATATCCGTATATTATTTGATGCATATGTATATACATATGTATATGAAATATAATAGAAGGTCAATTCTGTTTCATTGGCGCATTTCCCAAAATATACCGAAGTAGTAGGTATTAAACCGAAGTCAATAAATTTCAATACTCAATATAAAATCTCCCCAAAACAAATTCTAAAGTAGAAATCGAAATAAAATAACCCGTTCTTACCATCAAACGCCCTCATACATAACCCGGGGCAAACAAATCCGCAGATTGAAATCTAAGCATACCGCATTATCACGCGAGTACGCCTTTTCGCCGATCTATTTATTTATCGTCGGACCCAAACTGAAAGGGTTCTTCATACACTCGGACTTTGTTTGAGAGCAGTCTGCGGCCCCAGGACCCATGCGCCGTATAAGGGACTGCCATGTGAATACTGATGAACCAAAGAACTGACACAAAAGGTTTTTGTGGGGCAAAGTTGGCCACAGAATTAGATCTAGGAAGGGTTTAGTGGTGGAGATAGTATTGAGGTTTTCTTGTTAATCTTGACTGCATAGAAGATGATGACATCTGTATTTTCTTGATTATTTGTTATAGTTGTTTGATTTAAAATAAACGACATTACTTGAAGTAAGGCTAAAATAATCTTTGGCATATGTGATTGGGAGAAAGTTGATCGGGCAGCAGCAATGTCCAATTTTACTTGAGAATATATATATGAAAAATATGATTCAAATTGAAAATAAACTCATTTCGGGCACCGCAGTGTGAAATGGCAATGGAATATCTGTCACACTATTCTTCCCTGAATCAAGTTTGAGTTTATCTCAGCTCACGGACTTGCCTTAGGTCAGTACTATCAACTATTATTATTTATACATATTTATTCTTAATTATTTAATACTTCAGTTTAGATCAAAATCTACTAAATTCATGGAAAAAATTTGGAATGTTGAGAATAATGGGTAGCAGTATTTTTTTATAGCCGTAGGCCTACTTAAATATTTTGATCCCTTTCTTCATCCAACTCTCATTTTTTATACATCCACCAAAATGTTGATGTTCCATTCGATCCGTTAGATTTTATTACCATACCGTTCGATAGTGACCCAAACTGGAGGAGAATATAAGATGATTATTTAAATATAAAATACATTATTTAGGATTGTTATAGGATGACTGGCCACTCCTGCTATTTAAAATTATAAGAGTAACAAAATTTATTTAAAAACTGAACCAATCAATGATGCTTTATTGAAAATTCTTCAATGTATTTAATTTTTAAAAATAACTAAAAATAAATATGAAGATTGAAGATTCCCAAAAGTGCTTTGGACCTTAACAATCTCATTGAGACTTATTTTGTACTTCTGAATTTTTTTAAAGTTATATTAGTAGTTACCAGAAAATTAGATTATTAGTCACTGGTATCCTACATATATAATATTTTTCTAGCTAAGGCTTACCTATAATCATCACTAAATAATTCCTTCAAATCTTCATATAGCTCACAATCAATGGCATAATGAATTCCCTCTAATAGACTTAACCAAGTATTCTTTATGATGGTATAATTACAAACATGGAATTGTTCATTTAGCATCAATATTAATTAAACATTTATGTACCAAAGTCCTGAAATTACATTTACATATCTAACGGCGTCGGCCACGTATTCATTATTATTTATACTCATGAAATTCATTTTTTATGATGGCACAAACATCCATCTACATAATTTGCGAAGCGCAATAAGTCCTTAATTTATTTGAGGATACTCAGGATATACACTCTGAATATATATATATATATATATATATATATATATATACATGTGTTTGTGTGTGTATGTATCCAAGGCAAACATATTTCGAGATGATGTATTCATTTATTTGCTTTTTGTCTGGGTTGGCAGGTTGTAAATATATTTGTATTTCATGATTGTGTTATTATTTTATTTGACTTTTTTGCCCGGTTGAAACGAGATTTAATGAACTTTTCATTATACAGATAAGTAATAAAGAACATGTAATAAATGACCAAAAAATGGTCTTAACTTCACCAAAGGCCAAAGCTCAAGGTTGCACTTAAAAGCCCATAATTTCCAAATAACGTGAGATATTTTTTATAATTTAAATAAATAAATATATATATATATATATATATATATACATTAAAATTACTTTTTATAAAACAAATAATTTCCCGACCAATTTCATATTCTCATCATTCATACCTGCAAATAACATTTTTATTTGTATTATATAAATTACTGTGCATGTCTTCCATGTCCATTATTTACGACCATAAATCATCTCTTAATTATTTTTATTCTGTCACATAATATTTTCGTGTTTTCCATTATTTTTATGCTTTTCAATTCGGTAACCACAAATTTATCAAAACCTTTGAATAAAACATTGCGTGAGCAACAACTTGTTTGTCATATATATTGATAGCATTTGCGATGATAAAAATATACTTTGTGTTTCCACTGTCAATCAACTGTCCAAAAGATACGTTAATTTATGATTAATTATTACAAGGAAGGAATTGACAAAATAAAAGTTACGGAGTTTAGGGAAAAAACAGGGTAATGCGTTGTAATTTAGTATGGGATCAGAATAATATATCAATTTAAAATAAATTATACTATTAACAGAATAATAATAACTGCCCTAGGGCAGGTTTGTGATCTGAGTTAAACTCCTCAGGGAAGAATAGTATAAGAGATTGCCCATTGCTATATATGGTTATGAACACTCTTGTTATGGCTTTAGGAGACATTCAAAAATTTAATTTTACGTTATTTAATTGTTTTATAAGATACATTGTTAATTTTGATATCAATAATAATAAAATAATAATATTAATAATAATAATAGAATAATAGTATCAGAATCATTCCATTGAGTGAATCACTTAAAATAAATCTACTTGGCGCCAGACCTCAATAAATAAGATAAAAAAAATATACCAAAATTTCATTATTAATCAATTACAGCTTTAACTATAAACTAAAACTAAATAGCTCATTAAATCATTAATTTTATTAAAATAATTGTTCTTATCCATTTATTTGAAATCCAACTAAAACATTCCATGCAGCATAATTAATAATACCGAGTTTAAGTGAATTACAAACAATTAATAAAGTTTTGTTTGATCAGTTCATATGATTTATGACGCCGAAAATCGACTATACCTTAATTAAATATAACAAAATAAGGACCGGAGGGTAAATCGAACAAGACAATAGGTTGAAATATGGTGTGTGATGATTTATAGTTATACTCTATGAAATGTATCATATTCAGGCTAGGTAACAAGAATTCGATATGGTCTTTCGATCGATTTTCTGGTAATTTCCTGTTTTGTTGGAAAATTTATAGTATGTGAATGAGCTATAAATTTATAGGTGAAATACGCTGTTTAATTTTGTATTTGGCTTTGTCCAAAGCCAACACTTGTTCAATAAATAGGCAATTGCTTTTGCTATGTTTATTAAACTGTTATCAATTTTTATTAAATAGATAATTGCAAGTTCAATGTTTCTATGAGCAATATAAGTCTTCTTAGATGTTAGATTTCAATTTTTATTTTTTCTTTAGTCTTCTTGTCGACGTTGAATTGTTAACCTTGTTCTATCTTATCTCGATAAAAATAGCTTTTAGTATGTCTTATTTCGTTGACAAACAGTGACTATAAATATTTTTTTTCTATTTTCAGACAAACATTGGGCAACGGAACCTTGTATTTTCCGCCGTTCAGGGCCCAAGATTTCCGGGCCGACGTGCACGAAGCAGTTTATCGATGCCGGGCCGACAATACAGTAGGATCGATACTGAGCCGAGAAGTTCGAGTAAAAGCAGGTAATTACTAAATTTTATTTATAATAATTTTTATTATGTATGTAATATATCGAATTGTAGTTCTGAAAGGTTGCCCAATAGTGAGATTATAAGATTCGGATCAAAACCATCAATGCATACATTCCTCAACTCGACTCCATGAATATTATCCCAGACATAAACATAATGTATTAAGCAGCTCTTGTGTTTACGTTAACATTTCTCTCGGAAATGATTTTTCTCCGTGAAAAACCCCATTCTCGTTATTATAAAATATCAGAAAACGTTAGGCACATGAATAAGCAGAAACGAATGCCATACGTTCCGTATAAATATGATTTATATTCGACGGGCGGGAAGCCGGACCAGAAATTTGCAGCGTCAGACAACTGCGCATAAACAAGAGGTTACAGAATATAGAGTCAGCATCCCTCGAATTGGGGAATTGTGTTATCATTATTATTATTATAATGCTTTCTGTCAAGGGCTCATTTTTTGCCCCGTGGATTAAATTTTAGTCTCCCGTTTATCCTGAACAAGATGTCCGCAACATTTCATGAATATTAAATATGGTTTTGCGTAGGTTTATTAAATTTATGCACGGTACTCGCTGAATTCGGATCATTTTTTTTTGAGTTTTCTGAGTTGCTTCATTACATTTTAATTTGTTTGCAACCCTAATGAATTAGATGCAAATTTGAGGAATGAAAATATTATGGGCGTGTTTAAAAATGTATCCAACTACGTATATATGTCAGCTGTTTATCATGTTACAGAAAAGGAGAAATCTTCAGTTTGTACAATTTCTATAAAAGCTTACATTTTAAATTTACAAAATCTACAATTGGCTAAAACATGTATCTAAAAATTCACCGTTGCTGTCGTTTCTAAAAATTGAATAAATTTCATAAAATCATTAGGTTGTTAAATTTGTCCTAATATTAAAAATCCAAGTATTCATTTTAATACAAAATAAATTTGACAAATTTACCATTGTGTGCAGAAAATTATGATCTGCTTCTAATAATAGCTATATTATCTTTAATTTATTATGAAAATATTTATTATGAACATATTTATTCAAATATTATTCAAACATGAACCAAATGTTATTTTATGTTAATTTTATTCTAATACGACATTTAAACCACAGAATTTACATCAACAAATATTATTCCCCGTCAAAACACAATTACATACTCATATTTTGTATTCATCATACAAAATCCTAAAGAAACAAATCCTTCAAACATCAAATCCATTCGCACGCGCTTCATCCGCATGCACATCCAAAACTTTCCGAATATATAAAAACTTCAGAAGTTTATATTTAAAAATAAAATTGCTGCAATACATCATAAAAAGTTTTATTTAATATTTGCATGTATATACATCAGATGTGGGTATCATCGCACTGCCTGATGTACCTGCCTGGTGAATATACTTAGGAACTCGCACGCTTGTATAAAATATATCAGGAGGCCACTGACACAAGAAAACAGATTTATGTACACAGTTTTTTAAAACTTTACCACGATATATGGACTTTTTCTAAATAACCCCATGTTGTAAAGACAACTTGAGTAATAAATATATTTAATATTCTGACAGGGCTTTTTGGATGCTCTAATGTTCAAAAATAATATAAGACAACAATTCAATAATCTTAGGCGTAGTTCCGAAGTTTTGAATTAATAAATTCATGCTGATTTTTTATAATATTATTAAAGCCATTTATTGACATAATTCAATAAGTAGTTTTAAAATTAAAATAATACCCATAATGAAACAAATCAGCACGCTTATTAATATATGCATTTTCAGTGAATCTGTAATTTTTATTTGTGTAAGGGTAATAGTTATTTAGTAATATTAACTGAAATATTCTTTTGCATATGAAATACAAGATTTTCACGTCAGAGTAAACACTTTAACTAATGCTTTTCCATCTGGTTCTGTATCAAATAACATATCATAATAACATTTGTTATTGTGAATATGAATATACAACATATTTAAATCATGTTTTGACTATTCTTAGTCATGTTTATAAACAGCTCATGGGTTCTGCAAACATGCTATGTTTTGCAAAATATGTTGCATTCATATAAATTTTATATTTTCTTTTTCTATTTTTATATTTTTTACATTTACAAGTGAGTAAATATCACGCCATTTAATTAATTTTAAGTATACATTGAGTTTCTTGTGTATAGAAAATGGAATTGAGAAAAAAATAGTGAAGAAAAAAGACTCAAGAAGATCTATGAGAATTTTTTTTAGAGTTTGAGGCTTGAAGATTTGAGAATTTGAATATTTTGAACAATAAACTAGCCACATGATCGCTAGTGGACGCGAGTCAAAGATATTACGTGACAATACCATCTCGACCAATCATATCAACTCGTTTCGAATGTTGATACCCATAGCCAATGACGAATCAGTATTGGTGGCGTAACGCACTTCCGTTGCATATTCTCTGAGTTAGCCCCATAGTCACGCCTAAAGAAGTTTAACTTCAAATTTTGAACATAATGCAAATTTCTGAAATACTAAAACTGTTACGCCAATAAATCGAATTTTGGCAAAAATCAGTTAGGCTGCTAAATAATTTGTAATTCAACTGATTTAACTATATAATCTCTAACTCGAGATTATTACTTATCCTCAGTGATGCCAAAAATATATCTACTAATAAAACCTTGAGGATTGGGCATATCATATTTTGTCATAAATATCTCTACGATGTTATATTCAATGGAATAACTCAAAATAAAACAGTGCAAGTATCTTGATACACATTCGACTTATATATTTGAAATGCAATAAATTTCGAAAAATATCCAATTTTGAAAGCCCGTCCCTTGGTGTACCAGAGCATCGCGTCTAGGCGTGTTGAAACGTAATACCCTAATGAATAATGGAGCAGATGAATAATTGACACAAAGTGAACGCCGCACGCAAACCTTGCGAGCCGCAAGTCGGACTAACGCCCGGAACAAAGCCGTTGATGTTCTTACGACACGTCTTGTTATCACGACAAACAACATTCATTCGTGTTATTTATATTGACAGGCCATGGGAAGTTCACTAATAAAATTATAAATTAGAGAGAGAGGAAGGGGGATAGTAAAAAACTTCATTGTGAATGGTTTATTAAGCCACGTATCACTTTTGGTTGTGGTTAATCCAATTGATCAACAAGATGCTCATGTAACTAGAACAATAACAAAAGGATCATGACAAATAATATTTATTCCAGTTACTTATATTGACATGCCACGGCAAGTTTACTAATAAAATTATAAATTAGAAACAATGGGAAAACATAAAACTATATTATTACTGATTATTTAAGTCACATATCGTTCAGGTAATGATTAATGGTTTTCAGAAGCGAAATTCGTGCAGCTACTATGATTATTATAAAATTACTATCATTTTAATATTAATTATGAATAAGCTTAGCAAGGGCCTGAAATAAAATCTATCATTATTGATTACCGCTTGCTTATGAATAAATAAATAATTAAATAAAAAATTATATATTTTAATTTTATTTACTTTATTATTTGCTATTTATTGTTTAAAGTGTACACCTTTGCCAAGATAAATGTTCAGGTCCTTTTGTAGTAATGTCTGTTGCTAATTTGGTTTACTTAAAAATATTTTATATAAATGTATAAAAATAAATAATTCATCGACCAGTTCTTCGACTATATCCTGCTACGAGGCGCGAATTCGTAGCTTAACCTCTACCTCAGTGCTACGTTCGGCGCGAGCAAAAGAGACGTAGAACTTTGATATCGTCACCCTCTCGAATCGAGTGTTTGCTTTAATTAACCTGTTTGCGAATTAGAAAATGATGATGATCGTCCTATTTACAGACTACGACTGCTGCCGAGCTGCAGTGACAAACGTCGGTTTGATCTCGGTGGTAAATAAATGGAATCGAGTTAGAAACCACTCCAGGAGTTTGCAATTTAGTCATTTCTTGATTAATATGTACTGGAGATACATTTTTTTAGATTGACACAATATTTGTGTAGACGCTACATCCCAAATAACAATTATTTTACTTGAATATGTAAATATGCAATGGCTAATGGTTTGCTTATACATTAATGTACCTAATATTTGTTAAGTTTTTTTTACTCCACTAACAGTTTATATATCTATTAGCAAAAAAAACACAAACACACACTTATATACGTGTATATATATATATATATATATATATATAGTTTTTTTTATAAATTATAAACCATTTATAACGTGAAACGATGTGCCAATTTTCATTACCGGTCTACTACAAAAAAAAACAAAAATTTAAATAATAGAATCTAAAGTGCTTGTGTTAATTACCTTATTTTTTATTTGTGTAGTTTTATGGAATGTAAAAATGCACTTGTAACCATTAAAGTAATTAAATTTCTACTATAAACACTTTTAAAGATTTTTATTAACCATTAACTTATCTCGATGTATATATATATATATATATATATATATATATATATATTTCCATTACTAGTCCATAAAATAAAAATAAGCGTTTATATTCCGAGCGAGTTAAACTCTTGAAAGCCATAAAAACAAAATTCCGCGTTACGAGCACCATTTCGGTAAAAGTATTTGAATAAAATTTCGATCATTCACAGTAAAGGCAATGGTTGTTTAAAACTAGCGACCAAGAAAGGGTGAAAAAGGTACATGTTTAAATTACATACTTTCTCACGGTCTGAGATGAAGTCCGGAGAATGCAACAGACTTGGCGGTGAAAAACTGCAGCCATTTATCTTCGCGGTAATAACTTAGCGGTCCATTTGTCTAGAGGAGGGCGGACACTCGATGATAAACACGGTGTTTATTATGGAACAAGTACAAAATTAAACTCTCAACCTGAATTTCAAACACATGGATAATCTATTATAATAATCAGACACGATTATAATTATATATATTAGACAGATTATAATTATATATATTATGCATCATTTTTTTCCTTTCTTCAACAGTAG